ACAATAATAAAACAAACAAACAAACAAGTTAGAATTCTCTCATGATATCTGTGTGTTCAAAATGTAAGCAGAGATTTAGATAAAAATACTGGATTTAGCTCTGAGATTTAAGACAAAGCAGCCACTCACCAACACTTAACAAGCTCAAACAATGAGACAGATTTTAAAATATTATTTATAAGTAAGTCCTGGATCTACAGCCTCAATCCTGGATATGTTGCACAACATAGAATTACAAACATATTATATTATATATAGATAATTTCTATTAAATGGACTTTGCTTTGCCTTTAAATTAATGTGGGATTAGGTTGTATTTAAATATAATAACAACAACTAGTTATCCAAATAGTTAAAGTTACTCTTCTCTTTCTTTCCCATTTTTGACACTGGTGTGGCGCCCCCCGATGAACGGCGCCCTCAGCATTTGCCTTTACGGCCTCTCCCACGGCCGGGTCTGACGACAGCAGCAATTTAGGTGAAATTGAAATCGAATTTCCAGTATTTCCTGATGTTGGCGTGGATGGATCTAAAACAAACTCCAGACCTGTTCTTGTTACGGGAACAGTGTTGTAGCATGTTACCTTTGGAATGAGCTTCCCTAGAATCTGTGGACAATTACTAGTCCCGACTTTTGGCCCATGTTTGGTCTCACTGGTCTCTTGCTCTGGTTTCTCTGGTTTCTCTGCCCTCTCTTTGGTCTTCCTCTCTGGTCCCTCACTCTGGTCTCTCTGGTCCCTCTCTCTCTCTCTTTGGTCTCCCTCTCTGGTCCCTCTCTTTGGTCTCTCTCTGGTCTCCCTCTCTCTGGTCTCTCGTTGGTCTCCCTCTCTCTGGTCTCTCTCTCTTTCTCGTTGGTCTCCCTCTCTGGTCCCTCTCTCTGGTCTCTCTCTCTGGTCTCTCTCTCTGGTCTCTCTCTCTGGTCTCTCTCTCTCGCTCTCTCTCTCGTTGATCTCCCTCTCTGGTCTCCCTCTCTGGTCTCTCTCTGGTCTCTCTCTCTGGTCTCTCTCTCTCGGGTTTTTCTTTGTATGTTTTTATTGTGGTGCTTTGTGATCTTGGTTTGTGAAAGGCCCTATACAAATAAACATTTGTATAATCCAGTTTTTATCGATTCAAAGTAAATTAACAATGATAGTACTTTAAATCTATTCATCATGTTTTCAGAAGCAGATCTGTTTTCAGATCTGAGTTTAATAAAAACGAAGGACAACAACATTTGACTCTTGACAATACCACGTCTTCCTCTCGCTCCTCATGGTCCCAGTGATGATGGAGGAATACTGATGTGGAAGCTCTCTCTGGTTTCTTTGGTCTCTCTCTCTTTGCTCTCTCTGCTCTCTTTCTCTCTCACACATGACTCCAGTGTGTATGTATGAGTCCTCGGTATATCATGTTATCTCATTTGGATTTGGCCCCATTGGGTAATAATTTAATAATTACAAATTTAAACACGAAAGTTTGGATCCAGAATATTTCAGTGTGATTATTACGAAGGACGCAGTTCCAAGGTCGTCTCGTACCTTCAGACAATACACGCATAATTAAACCTGCAGTCGTCTCATTAGGGATTTCATTTAGATAAAACTCGACACAATATGCTTTAAATTATCCCTGAGCTATTAAGGTAAGAGGAAGAAATGGACACTGGACACAGACAGCAGAGTGGTTAGCACTAAAGTACATATGTGACATGTCAGTGCTATATGAACCAGCTGTGTGAAGTGCACAGGGACTGGCCTCCTGCTGGTACTCTGGGCACAGGGACTGATCTCCTGCTGGGACGCTGGGGAGCATAGGGACTGGCCTCCTGCTGGGACTGTGGGGAGCATAGGGACTGATCTCCTGCTGGGACTTCCTGAATCAGAAAAAAGAATACATGCATGTGTCACCTCAAGGCTTGACCACTGTAGCGCCCCCTGCTGGCAGCGTGCCCTAAATCATAAATAGCTTCCAGTTTGTTCAAAATACAGCAGCAAGGATCCCAACAGGCACCAAAAGGAGGGAACACGTCATTTCAGTGTTAAAATCACTCCACTTGTGAAGTATAGAATTAAAATTATAATACTTTTTTTATCATACAAAGCCATAAATAACCTGGCTCCCTCCTACCTCCCAAGACATGTTAGTGTCATACCAACCAAACCAAGCACTGCGCTTGCAAAACGCCTGCTGGGTCCTAAAGTGCTCTCACCGGTCTCTCTCTCTCTCTCTCTCTCTCTCTCTCTAAATTGATTAATTAATAATGGTTATTTTAGGAAAAATGTGTTCGTGGTGCAACATTGGATCCATATCTAATATTAACACAGCGTCCTGTGTTAATATTAGATACACTAACAACATTCGATGCATCTGAAATATGTGTTGGAACAGATTATGAAATTACATTCCATTAATTATGCAAGGGAAGGTTATTTGCATAGCACAGTTCATACACAAGGCAGTACAATTATAAACATTCAAAGTACTTAAAAAAGACAATAAAAAAAAAGTTTTTATCCTGGTATTGAACAATGTCAGAGAAGAGGTCTGACTCTCATTTTCAGGAAGACCAGATTTTAGCTGCATAAATCTGAAACGCCTCCTCATGTTTAGTCTTGACTTTGAGCACCAGGAGGCCAGTCCCTGTGCTCGTCAAAGTCCCAGCAGGAGGCCAGTCCCTGTGCTTCTCAGAGTCCCAGCAGGAGGCCAGAACCTGTGCTTCTCAGAGTCCCAGCAGGAGGCCAGTCCCTGTGCTCTTCAGAGTCCCAGCAGGAGGCCAGTACCTGTGCTCCTAGGAGTCCAAGTTGGTTCATATTGCACTAACATTATTAATACATGGAACATAATGAGATTAGATTATGGTTTTATGTGTCTGTAAATCCATCTTATTCTGGAGTTATCTCAGGCCCTGTTCACACCGCTGCTGCCAAACACTCAGCCTCAGAGCGACACCTGTTCTGCTGAATCAGACCCAAGAATCAGGGAAATCAATGCCTGGAGCGGCGGTTGGTTTGCAGCTGACGGCGGCGGCAGGAGAGAGAGGAGACAGAAGAGGCGTGGCTTTCCTCACTTATTTTACACTGGGATCACTAACAGAAACTCAGAGCATATCCTGATCCTGCTCCAACTCCCTGCTGTTCAGTCCAGGCACTGGGAGAAGTTTTCAGTCCTGGTCCTGTCTTGGTCCAGTCCTGGTTCAGTCTTGGTCCAGCACTGGTTTAGTCCTAGTTTATTCTTATGCTACTCTCACTTTACTGCACTGTTAAATGTCCATTGTGTACTTAGTGCACTTGTACACTGTAGTAATATTAATGCATTTATCAAGATTTCTTTTCATGCCTTACGTCTATTCTTATTTTTATAACTTGAGCCAAAGCAAATCCCGAATTTTTGACTTACTTTTATTTACAATAAAAGTTATTCTGGATGCTTTCAAAAATAAAAGTTATATCTAAATTGTTCAAAGTATTGTAGGGAAATAGGTAAACATCCACCCTGCAGAATCTAGACAAATGCTTCAGGAATTTGAGATAGAAATAAAGATTAATGGTATGAAATCTGTAAAACTCAAGTAACCTAAAAGTATAAAATAAACATTGTACGAAACTAAAGCTCCTATGTGTTTGTATCATTTCCTGTTTGATTCTCTGATCTGTTGTCGAGTACTTTGAGACGACTGCTGTTGTGATTTAGAGCAACACAATAATTATTGAAATGAAATAAATTTGTCATAAGATTGATCTCAGAAAATGTGAATATTTTAAAATGAGTCTTGAGTTGAATTACAGAAATGTGCTCCGGCTGCAGCTTTATAACCAACTTTGGTTGTGTCCTTAGGCAAGACACGTCACCCACATTGCCTATGAGACTATATACAAGGCCCAGGAGCCAAAACATGTAAGAACATTTCCTGGGCCTCGTGCTGAAGTGGCCATTAGCAGCAATAATCAAAGAAGCATCTGCGGCGGCTCAAGAATCTGAGAGATGCATTAAATGTGTGGCCTCTGACTCTGGACCAGAGCAAGAGAGACACACGTGGGCTCTCTCCTGGAGGACTCCCAGAGGACTCCCAGAAGTCTGGGCTCTGGTCCAGGCCCCCAGGGGACCACCAGTGCTGCTGCCTCTGGGACAGTGAGGCCCTTATATTTGGGACCATATGTAGACATGTTTACAAACATTCATCTTACTCAGATATTCGGCTCACATATCGCAGCTGCCCAACTCTGCTGAAGAGAGCGATAGTTTTACGTCTGTGTCAGGAAAAACAGAAGTGGGTCAAAGCACAGGAGCCTCACGGCCACAGGAGCCTCACGGCCTCAGGAGCCTCATGCCACAGGAGCCAAGTCCCTCACTGTCAGATCAACATGAGATCAGGAATACATGTTTTCCTTTGATGAGTGAAGTGTAAGCCCCCCCTGACAGGGGTCTGGAGCAGGGACAAGGTTCTTCTTCTATTGGCTTTAATCAATGTGTCGTTAGGTGTGTGTCATTAAGTGTGTGTCATTAGGTGTGTGTCGTTAGGTGTGTCCCGACAGTGGAAGCCGGAAGTTCATGTAAAAAGACAAGACCTGTTTTTCGCTCAATGCAACTAAATATTAAGTGAAAAATACTCCCTGATATGTTTGACATGGTGTGAAGTGTGTATGTGTGTGTGTGTGTGTGTGTGTGTGATACCTGTGAGTGTGTTTCAGTGTGGTGCAGTGTGTTGGAGTGTGTTGTGACTTCAAACTTCAAAGCATTCCACCTTTTGATCAAAAACGATTCAAACATTTGTTTCAGTTTACACCAAATTTATTTATTAATTCCTGGTCATTCTTTTCCAGAAGTGCATCTGGTGTTGTACCATCTGAACAAATCCAGACCATTAAAGTGAACAATTATTCACATCGACAGTAGATGCATGTTTGATGTTATGAAACAGTCCACAGGCAACTCATAAATGAGGTATAAAAAATGTTCTTTCAGCTGAGAGTCTCGTAAGGTTTCAGATCCATGAATAGAAGCAGTTCTGAGTCAGTGGAGACTTATGCCTTAACAAGAGCGGCGAACTCGTCCACGCCGATCATGCCGTCACCGTCGCTGTCTCCAGCTGCCAGGAAGGTTTTGGTCTCCTTGTCGGTCAGCGCTCTGGCTCCAGCAGAGAAGTTCTGCAGGAACAGCTTGAGCTCCTCCTCCTCAATGAAGCCACTGTTGTCCTGGTCAATGATGCCGAAAGCTTTCTTCACCTCGTCGGACGACTTTCCGGCCAAACCGCACGCCTTGAAGAACTTCTTGTAGTCGAAGGAGTCGGCAGCAGCGCAGCCGTCGATGGCGGCTTTGATGTCAGCCTCGTTGAGTCCGGCGAAGGCCATTTTTTATTCTTTTGGTGCAGAGAGAGCAGCAAACAAGACACGACACGACTGTGAGGTTCAGGACTCTCTGCCTCTCTGCTGCTGCGCCCCGATACTTATACCCTGGTCCTGCGCCGCGGCCCGCACTGGCACCATAAGTAGACATGTTAACTTACATTCATCATGCACAAGTGTCCATCTCGTATAACGCATGTCACAGTCGCAGCTGCTCTGCTCACACAGCAGCAAGTGGGTCACACACACCGTGTGCGGCAGCACCAGCAACGTACACACCATGTGCAGCAACCAGCAACACACACACACACACCATGTGCCGCAAACCAGCAACACACACACCATATGCTGCAGCACCCATCAACCAGCAAGCAGATTTATGTCTTTATTCTGTCTCTCTGTGTGTGTGCGTGTCTCTCAGGTTTCACTCAAAACATCCAACACATTAAAATGATGTGTGGTCCAATGACCCATGTGCAGCAGCCTTGCTTCTGTCCGTCTGCCCCAGGGCAGCTGTGGCTGCTGTAGAGGGTACACTAGTGAGGAGGAAATGAAGGAAGTGTCTTAGTGCTTGAGAAAAGTGGAATAAAAATGTTTCTTATTATTATTGTATTTTGTTTCTGTAGAGGTCTCTGCAGTGAGAGACCAGAGAGGGACCAGAGAGGGACCAGAGTGAGACCAGAGAGAGACCAGAGAGGGACCACAGTGAGACTAGAGAGAGACCAGAAAGAGACCAGAAAGAGACCAGAAAGAGACCAGGGAGAGACCAGAGGGAAGGTTGAATGAAACTACACTCATGACACAAAAGTGATGAGCCTGTGTTTAATATAACCTTCAGTAGGGTCAGTGATCATTCCTTTTTTTAAACTTCATCTAGACAGAATATCCTTTTGAAAGAGGTCCTGAACCAGAGCTGATATTTAGCATCTTACATCCCTATAAACATATAATATAATTTATTATATATGATAATATAAAATAACATAAACAGACCACTGTAACATTAAGAGACACATTCCATATAAAACAGCCACAACAACCACAGCCACCTCACTGTGACACCTGGTGTTCCCAAAGGTCTCCCATCCCAGTACTAACCAGGCCCTGCTCTGCTTAGCTTTAGAGGTCTGACAAGATCAACACAATTTTTGTTTCCTCTTTTTTTCAAACCAAATCATATATTTTACATTTTACATTGTTCCTCTGTCTTTTTGTTCTGTTGTTGTAGTGTGTGTTCCTGTTGTGTATTGTGTTACAGTATGTGATTTGAAAAAAAAAAAGTTTAAAAATGTATCTTATTTGCGGAAAAATTAAAAAAAAGCTAGAGAGAGACCAAAAAGAGAGAAGAGAGAGAGAGAGAGACCAGAGAAACAGAATATTCTAATTTCCTCCTGTACTTTCTGTATTTTCAGTTTGATTTCTCTCCCTCCAGTTCTCCTCTGTTTTGTTCCTTTACACCTATTACCTACGCGTCTTTTGAATCAAAAATGTGTTGTTTTCGATCCATCATTGCCACTTGCAGCCGGTGGCGTTCCCTCGAGGCGCACACTCTCTGACAGCACCATGTGTCACAGCACCATGTGTCACCGGGCTGCATTAAAAACACATTACGGAGCGAGAGGAGAATTAAGGAGAACTCTGCTCTATCTGGACCTGGACCCACATGCATCACTGACAGCAGCAAGACTTATGGGCCGAGCAAGTGCACTCCCAGCACTTTAAAGAGAGAGAGAGAGAGAGAGAGAAGCAGAGAGAGAGAGAGAGAGGCAGAGAGAGAGAGAGAGAGGCAGAGAGAGAGGGAGAGAGAGGAGGGGTGAGAGAGAGCCAGGGAAAGAGAGATAGAGAGAAAGGCAGAGGGGGAGAGGGAGGGAGCGAGAGAGGGAGGGAGAGAGGGAAAGAGGGGGGAGAGAGAAGGAGGGAGAAAGAGGGGGGAGAGAGAAGGAGAGGGGCAGGAAATATGAACACTCCTCATGTATTAAGTGTAAGTACTGCGCTCAGTCAATGCTTTTTACATTTAGATTCCAAAGTGCCTCTGGTGCAGATATATATGCTGGGCAGTGAAAGGAGAGAGAGGGTGGGGGGGGGGGGGGGGGGGGGGGGGGGGCGAGAGGACAAAGTGGAAAGGCAATTTTAAAGGTAGTTTGGCGTCGAGATTTATAGATGTGCGCAGAGGAGGTGAATGTGTGGCATAAGCTGCAGCAGGGGTTGAGGACCGCGATGATCCATTTGTGAATGTAGGAGAGTCGGCTTGCTCCCTACGTGTTTGTTATGATTGCATTTTCTATTTTTGTTTGATTCTCTGATTTAATGTTCAGCTAACTTCAGTTCAATGTATTAATGGCCCTGAAGCACAACAGTAATTATCTCAGATGACTTTATACAAGTTGTCGATCAGAGAATCAAAAGCCCGTGGGCCAATTGCGGTCCTCAGCGTCATGTGACTTGGCCCTCCTCACCCTAAAGTTTAATGAGTCATCCAGCCAACTTCTCCCCCTCTTCCCTTTTTCTCTCTCTTTCTCTCCTCCCCCTTCTCTCTCTTTTTCAGACGCTGGAAGGTCGTTACTCAGACAGTTGTTCTTTATCTTTCTCCTGAGCGTGAGGAGCGTGCCCTGATCAGATCTACACTGATGAACGAGAAGGCGTGATGAATGAGAAGGCGTGATGAAGAGGAGGCGTGATGAAGAGGAGGCGTGATGAAGGACGAGGCGTGTGACAGCTCACCTCATCGTGTTTTTGTGGCGCCAGAACATGAGGAGGCGACCTCGACAGGACTAATCTCTGACCTGAACTTACTCCTGCAGCTTGTTTGTGGAGAGGAGGAGGAGAGACAGGAGAGAGAGGGAGGAATGAAACTATTTTTGAAGTGAACATAAGTATTATGTAATAATGATAATATTAATAATGCATCAGTTGTATACAGCGCTTTTCTGGACTCTAAAGACGCTTTACAACTCATTAAACCACTACAGTAGCCACAGCTGCCCTGGGGCACACTGATAGCAGCAAGGCAAACCGTCTATGCCATCGGCCCCGCCCACCACCACAAACCATTCACAAACCAGACTCCTAATATAGGTTAAGTGTCTTGCCTAAGGATACAAAACCACTTTACAGCCGCAGCCGCCCCACTGTGGCCCCTGGTGTTCCCAGAGGTCTCCCATCACAGGCTGAACTTTCTACAGACGGTACAGCAATATATCACTTCAAACACAATCTGTGGTTTTTGGTTTTAAAGAGGCCAGTCCCCCACAGAGTCTCACCTACTGTCTAACCCACAAATCCCACTAGTCTCACCCAGTCTCACCATAGTCTCACCCACAGTCTCCCTTGTCGTCCCGTCCACACTGTTCTCGGTGATGGCCACAAATGCTTCCACACGGCGCCGGTCACCACAGCAACACACAGGAAGTGGAATCAGCGCGAGTAAACAGGCGTGAGATGAGAAGGCACTTAATCCATCAACACGGCGGCAGCGTGATGTCACAGAGAACAAACATGGGGAGCTGTGGGCTGTGATTAGCACTTTCTCTTGTCAGTAAGAAGAGTTGTTCTCCAGGTGATCCGGTTTCTGTTACTATACATAGTTCCCACATGACGTCACTACATACGGGGATTTGCCGACCCGGCGCCATTTGTCTTGGCATTCTGTGGGCAAAACAATAGAAAAAGAAGCTGAAACGTGTTAATGTCGTGATAAAGTTGAAAATGGTCATCTCCTGCTGGGTCAATGGATGTTCAAATCGTGCCGGAGGTTCCGTTAAACTTGGATTTTACAGTATACCCATCATTAGACTTCATGAATGTGAGAAGACTAAGCTTGCGAAGATAAACAGGCAAGAAACTCCCTCAAAACACGCAAGAATATGCTCGGAGCACTTTGTGTCAGGTGCGTATCGTATCTCATAATGTGTTGACAGACGTAATTTACTCAGTACTAACTTGTGTATGCTGATATCTGGTAACTTGAGAGTTTCATTATTTAGCGTTAGATTACTTTATTATGAGGAGGATCGGTGTCGCGTCCGAGGCTCTCGAGGGCAACGTAAATGTATTAAATAGATAATAATAGTTCTATGGTGGGCTAAAACAATGTTCACAAACAGCATTGCTTCTGTAAAAAGATCTGTGTCATAAAATAAACTGCTCTTTACGCCTGGAAAAATCAGTTGCCCACCATTCACCAAAACATACGGTCAAAAACGCGGAAATAAACAATAACAGCAATCCAGAGTGTCCGTGTGGCATTAGCATTAATTAAATTAATTGTTAATATAATTAAAATAATTAAATGGAGCTCCAACTGGTATTAAATCTAAAGTTTTTGAGAAATGTTTGCATTGCTTGTTAATTTTTGCTGCATAATTTGATCAAATATGTAAAACATGTCCGTAGCACGTTAAACTGTGGTGCCATTGTATTAATATACAATTATTTGCTCAAAAGTTGCCCTTTTTTTCCAATTTGCGTTTGAATATCTACATTTATTCTCATTCTTCTGTTTAATGGAATGCACAAACACAGCAGCGTGCCATCAAAGATGGCGTCTCCGAGGAGGTCATGTGACATTCATTGGTCTGTGGGAACTATGTATTAAAACTCTGTACCATCCTCCAGCTCTGGTTCTTAGCAAGAGCATCAACATCAGGAGATGGGCCCCGGGCACTGTCACTCTCTGCTCTCTCTTTGGTGTTTCTCTGCCTGTCTCTGGTCTCTGATATCTCTTGCTGGTCTCTCTCTGGTCTCTTTCTCTGTTCTCTCTCTGGTCTATCGCTTATTTAAAGAGAGCAGTCAAAAATGACAAAATACATTTTCAGAAAACTAATGACAGAAATAAACTAAATAGAAACAGAAAAAGATATGACCACAAATGTGCATATGATAATTAAATTTACAAGATACCATCAATTTTCCTTCCCTTAATCCATTTCTGGGTCGAGGGGTTGTCAGTCAGAGCTGAACCCCTTTCGCAAAGCACCAGCCCCTCAATGATCTTGCTGCAGGTGTTG